TATGTATCTCTTAATTGGTGTTTTCAGTTTTCTTTGGATAAATACCCAGAAGTGGAATTGCTGGGTCATATAGTAATTCTATTTTTAATTTATTGAGGAGCCTTCATAATGCTTTCTGTAGTGGCTGCACCAATTTGCATTCCTACCAACAGTGTCGAGGGTTCTCTTCCCTCCACATTCTCGCTAACACAGTATTTCTTATCCTGTTGATATTAGCCATTCTGACAGGTGTGAGCTGATAGCTCACTGTGGTTCTTGATTGGCATTGCCCTGATGATTAGTGATGCTGAGTATCTTTTCATGTGCCTTTTGGCCATTTGGATGTCTTCTTTGGAAACACATTTATTCAAGTCCTCTGCCCATTTTTTGATCAGGTTGTTTGTTTTTTGATATTAAGTTATGTAGCTTTGTGCATTTTGAATATAAAACCCCTTATCAGATGTGTGATTTGAAAATATCTCTTCTCATTCAGTAGGTTGCTCTTTCATTATGTTGACTGTTTCACTGTGCAAAGGCTTTTTAGTTTGATGTAACCCCATTTATTTATTTTAGCTTTTATTGAACTTGCTTGAGGAGATTGGTCCAAAACACTGCTAAGACCAATGTCAAAGAACTTACTATCTATGTTTTCTTCTAGGAATTTTATGGTTTCTGGTCTTACATTCAAGTCTTTACTCCACTTTACATTTAATTTTGTGTATGGTGTAAGATAGTGATCCAGTTTCATTCTTTTGCATAAAGCTGTCCAGTTTTCCCGACACCATTTATTGAAGAGACTGTCTTTTCCCCATTGTGTGTTCTTGCCTCCTTTGTCATGTATTAATTGACCATAAATGTGTGGTTTTATTTCTGGGCTGTTTTCCTACTCCACCTGCCCATGTGTCTGTTTTGTGCCAATACCATACTGTTTTGATTACTGTAGTTTTGTAGAATAGCTTGAAACCAGGGAGTGTGAGGCATCTAACTTTATTCTTTCTCAAGATTGCTTTGGAGATAAGAAATTTCATGGCAAATAATTGCATTTTTCACTGTAATAAACTACAGAAGTTGTTTAGATACCCAGTAATCCATCTATATTATCATGGAGATTAAAAGTTTCTTGACATAAATGATTTAAAGCAATATTTATAATAAGAGAGAGGAATAGTTTTGTACTAGGCCTATGAAGACATCACCCAAATTCTCTGTATGGGTAATGAACATATTACAATGTATTATACAAAGTATTATCAGTGTACACTGACAAAGATATTTATGTACATATGAATACATGTATATTTATATTGTATCGCTATTCTGGTAAAATCATCATAATTGCAATCTGTACTGAAATCATATATAAGAAAATTAATGCTTTAATTTATTTTATATCTTCAAATTAAATAAATTGTGTATCTATAGCTTTGATCCATTTTAAAATTCAATATATTCAGCAATAACTTTGATCAGTTACTATGTGCCTGTTACAGTGATAGGTGCTTTCACAGATACCATCTCATTTAATTACTTCAACAGCCCTTTGAAGAGTATGTTAGTATCCCTGTTTTACAGATAAGGAAGTGGAAGCTGTCTTAGTCTGTTCCAGCTGCTATAGAAGAATGTCATAGACTGAGTGGCTTATAAATAACAGAAATTTATTTCTGATTATTCTGGAGGCTGGGAAATTTCAGATCAAGGCACCATGATTGGCGTCTGGCAGGAGCCCGCTTCCTGTTTCATAGATGGCCATCTTCTCAGTATCCTTACATGGTGGAAGTGGGAAGGGAGCTCTCTGGGGTTTCTCTTATTAGGGCCTAATCCCATTCTGAGGGTCCCACCCTCATAACCTAAGCACCTCCCAAAGGTCTCACCTCCAAAAAGAAATACCATCACACTGGGTGTTAGGGCTTCACATATGAATTTGGGGGACCCAAACATTCAATCTACAGAAGAAACTTAGAGGGATATTATAATGGACTTCAATTTTGCTACGCACAGACTTGGGACTTGAACTTCAATCCAGTGCTTTTACCAAAGCTCTCCTCTTCTAAGTGTAGAGGAGCCCTAGAATTGGATACATTTTGTGCAGAGCCAATAAGATAATGCACTTAAAAACAGCTCCTGTTTCCCTTTGCATGAGTTACATAAACCACCAGGAAAAAATAACTCCCAACTGGAACCACCAACCTATTTGTTGTGGAAATGAATATCCCAATGTTTTAATACTGTTGCTGTGCTGACTGGCAACAGAAAGCAGTGTGCTAGAAACAGCACTTCCCTTGTGCAGGGAATATTAAAGTTATCGTGAGAAAGGTGCCACATTTTTGTACATTGCAAGCTGTTGTGGTTGAAGGAATCACCACTTATTTTGTAGCTGGATGTTTTGTTCCTCCTATGATCCAAATAGTGCCCTAATGAAAGGATATTGCTTCTTTTTTTTAATGTGAAGAGATTTCTGAGGATATTAAACAGAATATTCATGGCTTAGGTATGCTTTTGTTGTTTTAATATGAAAAGAAAGATGGACCAGAGCGGAATATCCCTGTGAATTGAGGCAGCCGCCATGGATGTGTTTGGGGAGCACTGCAGTGCAGAGGATTCAGAGTATGTGCTCTAGTTCTGGAAGGTCTGGATTAAATCCCAGCTTCATTATCTACTAGCTGTGTGACCCAGAGAAAGTTTTTAAAGGGATTTTCTGTGCCTCAGTTTCCCTATGTTTGAAAATGAGCACTGAGGTGGGAAAGACTGAGGTGGGTATTGTCTGTAACAATATGCTAGTTGGATTTTTAAAATACCTGCTAAATATATAGCCATTACGGTGAAAACATTTTGTCTACATCTAAGATCATCTCATTACTAGTGCTGGTATTTAAATATTTACAATACTTTAAAAAATATTTAAAAGGAGTATTACAACATTTAAAACAAAATAGTATCTTTAAGGCAGTCTACTGGTGAAGTAGAAATCCCATTTTTCATCTGCCTAATGTAGCTAGGGATGATTGTAGCTAGAGAAAAGATGTTCGAATTTCCTAACCTCTTGGAGGTTTGTGCTAAGCTTTAAGTATAGTCTTTCACTGCCACTGAACATAATCTGGAACTGTGAATTTCAAGTTGTTTTTTCTTTAAGTAGTAGTGTAACAATTAGTATGGCCAATAAAATTAGTGAATTCCAGAAGAGTAGGTAATTGTATCCTCAGGCCCTAGTCCATGATAAATATTTGTTGAACTCATGAGTTGAATAAGAAACTTGGTATCTTTAGACATGTTCTCATGGTTTATCAAAGGTATGCTGTTTTATTATTTTTAAAGTGGGCAGAACAGTGGTCTGTGTTTTGGAATATGTGGAAGTATTCGAAAATTCTTTCCTTTTCAGGGAAGAAAATGTGATGATTGAAAGCAAAGTTAGAATTGAAGGGACAAGTTCTAGTGCTGGCCTTGGGGAGGGCTGCTGACTGCTTCTGTCATTCTAAACAAAAGGGGTGTCTAGGCTGCAGGGACCAGTGTTAGTAATGAGATGATTTTAGGTATAGACAAAAGGATATTTGTACAGTAATGGCTATATATTTAGCAGGTTATTTTAAAAATCCAACTAGCATAGCCTATAGATCCAGTGTCTTTCTGACCTCAGACAACAGCTTCCAGACATTTCTGGGGGAAATGCTCTTACATCATTGGTGGTCAGTCTTGGTGGGACTGTCAGTGAGGGTGCTCTTGCTCGACTGGCTGAGGTGTGAGGCAAATATATGCTGTTTCTCCACTTCCAATGAAGGCACACAAAGATTGGCGTCAACCAGCCCTGTGACTGCATGCTGAATCCTGCTGCCTTCGCTTCTGCGAAGCCCAGTTGGTTTTTCCCAACACTTCTTCCTACGGCTGATCTTCCCACGCTAGAAGTTAGGCTGCCTCTTTCCAATCCTCTGATTTATTTTTAAATTTTACATAACTAGAGTAAGTTGTTGCTGATTATATTTAAAAGTTCTCTTTCACCTTGCATGTCATCGATATTATTACTTCAGAAAAACCGTTTCAGCATAAAATGTGGGGTGTTCTAAAGAAAAGAATGTAAATAAATTATACAAATGATATGCAGATAGAGCAGAAATTGTGAGGATTTGCAAGTGGCTAATGATTGGGAAACATCATTACAAATACCCGTTTTAGCAATGAGCTTCCTGGATGCATTTAGGTATTGAAATTGGGGTATTTTGAAAAGCCATTAAAAAGACCATCCAGGATTATATTGGGATGGTCTTGTTGAGAAGAAAATAATATGGACTTGGGATAAATATATTAATTAATATATTATTACAGGTCTTAAAGATCTAGAACAGATACATTTTGAAAAGGTAGTTGCATTATTTCCCTGGTCAAGATCAGACCTTTAAAAAGAAAAAAATCTAAAAACACTCTTGCCCACATCAGAGAAGGCTTTCATTTTCTAAGTGGAGTATTGATTTATGTTGGATATTATTCTCTCCAATTAGTATAACACTATAGTATAAATTTTTCAATCAAATAAAAAACCAGTGGTGCAGGGGTGTGTGTATGTGTGAACCAGAACCGCACAGCTGAGATTGGATATTTCTTGGTAGAATTGTTATCTCAGTCCTGCTCCTTCTGGGCACGTTGCTATAAATGCTGTAAGTTCCTGTGTGTCCCAACTCTAAGGAGCAACTTATGATTCCTTTATTGTCCCTCTCACCCTGAGGTTCTCTGAGTTCTGGTTGGGACTGAAACATCTGGAGATTGAAGACTTCTATCCCACCAATTTTGCTTTTTATCTAATGCTTTTATTTTTATTCCAAAAAATATAATTTAAAAAATTTGAGATGAAACTTGGGCTAAGTAGAGATTCTGATGCCTGAAAATGTTTTTGGCAGTTGTGTTTTCCCAGTAATCACCCTTGGGGAAACAGGGATAGGAAATGCAGGTCACGTATCGATCCTCCGAAGAATCTCTGAGAGAGGGACAGGTAGTGGAGGTTTCATGCTGAGATGCCAGGACACCAAGCATTTGACTATGTTTCCAATATGACCTTTATTGAGCAAGTACTGCTGTGACATTTAACATCAATCAACGAAAGGTTGCAGACTGCATGTCGACGAGGTTCTCCCATGAACAAAAGTCCATTTTAAATGCACCAGTGAGGTAAACATAATTATTCATATATAGCTTTCTTAAGGCTAAGAGAGTTCTGTGTTTCATTTTATTATTTTTGGCTCAGTTGGTTCTTTGCATAATACACCTCAAGACATTCCCCTCCCCCCCAGTGCCTCCCTTTCAAAAGCTTAGGAAATTGGCTGATTCCCCAGGTAGATACAATATCATGCATTTGAATCCCCCAAAGACTGAGGAGGGAGCACCCTGAGCTTGCATGCAGTTCCCTCATATTGCACAAAGTAAAATACAATGTCCGGAGCCCCCATGGGAGAACCCGCTCTGCTTTGAAGCTGTCAATCACATGCATATTAAAATTGTCATATGGCTTAACCTTTTGCAGTGAACTCAACTATCAGTCACCCTGGGTGACTTCCTTTACTATGGCGTGTGAAGTGACCTTCTCTACCTTCTTAGTAGACACTAGTTTCTCCTCAAAGGTCTCTTCATGCTCTTCGACCTTTTGAGTGACGGTTACAGATTTAGTGATGTATTTGGTAGCACCATCTCCCCCCTCCTCACTGGTGATTTTTTCTATCTTCTTGGTCACCACCACTTTTTCCTCACTTCTGTCACCCCCCTTCTCATCCACTGGGCTCAGGTCTAGCCCGTTGGTGACAACCCCTTTCTCCTCTTCTCCCCCGCTGCCTTTCTCCTTAGTGTCCTGTGCCTCCTCCTTTCCTTCCACCTCCCCATTTACCGCAGTGTCTTCCTTCGTGGATCCCTTGGAGACTCGGTCACCGCCCTCCTCCCTGGCCCCCTCTCCCGCCTTCCCCTTCTCCGTTTCCTTCTCTTTCTCCTTCCCTGGCTGCTGTCGCTTCTCCTCCTCTTTGACCTCTTGCGCCACGCTCACCTTTACTGATTTGGCGACGGCCACCACCTCCTCCACGGCTTCCTCCTTCCCTGGGGACTCAGCCTTCTTCTTCTCGGGAAGCTCTTTGGGCTTCTCCTCCTTCTTCTCCATCTTCTCCTCCTTGGGTGATTCCTTTGCTGCTGCTTTCTTTTCTGCCTCCACTTTCTCCTCTTCCTTCCTTGGCTCCCCTTTCGGAGGCCCGGCCTCCACTTTGGGTTTCACCTCTTCCACTGGCGACTTAGGCAGGGGGGACTTGGCTTTCTCCGGCTTCTCCCCCCTGGCCTCTGCCACCAGCTCCTCCTTGGGAGCCACTTCCTCACCCTGTCCCTCGGCTTTCTTTCCCTCCTTGGCTTCGGCTTCCTCTCCTTCACCCTCGGCCTCTGTTTCGCCGCCTTCTTCCTCCTTCTCACTGGAACCTTCCTTCTCAGACCCCCCTTCTTCAGCCTGGTCTGATTTCACTCCCTCGTCTTCCTCCTCCTCCTCCTCCTCCTCCTCCTCCTCCTTGGCTCCTTCTTCTTCTCCTTTCAGTTCTGGCGCCGTAGCTTTCACTGGAGACTTTTTGGGAGCTACGACTTCTCCAGCCTCTCGCTTTTCTTCCTTTACTGCCACCTCTTCCTTCTCTTCTTTCATGGAAACGGCCAGTTCCTCTGCAATGGCTGTCAGGGCGACTTCCATTTCTGATTTCTCATCTTCCACCTTGGTTTCCTCTATGATCTCCTCGACAAACTTGTGTTGGACCTTTAGCTTGGGGGCCTCCACCTTGGCTTTCTGGATCTTACTGGATATTGTGACTGAGGGCGGTCGGTGTGTATACAGCGGCCCGGTGATGCTTCCTGCAAATGTGCTAAATCTGGTCTCTTCACCCTCCAGGAGTTTTCTAAGGAGAGAATCAAAGATAAGACATAATTAAAATCTTATGGAACCTCTGAAGGTTCACTATATTATGGGTAAAGCAGTAGCTAACTTTTGAATAAATAGCATGACACAAATAAAAGATTCCATGGAACCAGTGAAATACCTGCTATCATTTCACTGGTATATTGTGTAAGAGTCAGTGAAGAGACATTCCACCAGCCAATCACCTGCTGCAGTAAGTAACCACGCCCAACAGTCCACTAGCCACACCCAGCCTCCAAATCTCAGCTCTGCGGCAATTCATTTGGTGCAACATGAATATGCTGAAAAACTCCTAGTGGCCAAAAAAACCTTAGTGACCTTGAGCATTTGGACTTTCAGTATTGTGTCCTGAATTTCTTGCAAACATAATAAAAAACTTTACAGAATTATTTTGCATGTATCAGAATTTAGCCTCTATGTGTATGTGTGTGTGTATCATAGCTAAGTGCTAATAATGGGAATCAAATTATAAATTGGATTTTAATTTTTTAAATTCCTCGCTTTTAATCATAGTGTCTGTTTGATCCAATTATTCAGCTTTCCTACAAGGAGACAGAGCTCTGAGAGCAATTTATTCTTATAATATTATAATGACCTAATTGGAAGCAGAGAAACTGTTTAGTCAAGGATTTTCTGCTATGAACTCAATCAACAACAAGGTGACATCAGTCATAGACCTCTTCTGTCTTTCTCTGGTTGTATATTAGATCTATAGATATAAATCTAAATAGAATATATATATATTCTGTCAATCTATGTCTATTATCAGCCAGATGATGGCAATAGTAAGCTATTACAGAGAAACAAAAGAAATAGAATATCCTGGTATTTGTCCTTGACATTGTCAAATTGAAAAACTTAAGCCGTGACATGAAATATTAAAAACTAAAATCCCGCTTTTGTTTCAAACATTCGGAAAACATCACTAAAACAAACAAAAAAAGGGTTAAGCATACTCATTGGAATTAATGGCACTTTCCTTCAAAACACTTTATTCAAACAACGCATCTCAGTATTTGCTCTCTTAAAGCTGTATAAAAAGTGGTAAAACTACATTTGCAATTCTTTAGAATAATTTCTTTTTAATTAAGGTAGAAAACCACGCCTGATTTAAGACCCCTGCAACGTGCTCGCTTTAACTTCAGAGGTGAAGCTCCTTCCCAAAGAGCCTCTGCAGTGCGGCGACTGTTTCGGCCACTTCGCAGTGTGCACCCCCCGCCACCCGCCGTACCTGTAGGCAGCGATTTCGATATCCAGAGCCATCTTGACGTTGAGAAGATCCTGGTATTCTCGCAAATGGCGAGCCATTTCCCACTTGGTGCCCCGAAGCTCGTTTTCCAACTGTTGGATGGTGTCCTGAAACAGACACAGGCATAGAGTTACCCTTCCAAACAGCAACTTCTTTTGCAAGCTGGCTACCCCCTTCTCCTTTTTCTCCTCCCTTGACTCCCTCCGGCTCTGCAGCCCTCGAGGATTCCATTCCCAGCCCCCAACCTCCCTTAAAAAAAAAAAAAAAAGGAATTCTCAAATAAGCAAACAGGATCAATAAGACAATTCCGTGGGCACGTCATGCCCAGGGACCAGTCTACCTAGAACATGTCTCAGCAGGAAACAAGGTGCATTGGGAAACCCCACGGCTGACCTGGCCCTTCCCACCTGAGCCTTTGGGCTGAAGCCTATTTAGAGGGTTTTTCGTATCTTGGCCGTAAAAGTTGTGAATACAAGTGTTTCTGCACAAGTTATCCTAAAACTGTTTCTCTATCAGCTACCCGAATGTATACCCCCTACTTTAAATGTGCAAACGTTCAAAACTAAAACTCCACAGGAAAAGAGCATGTTTTGAAAAACGTCAGGCCTCTAAGGAGCGGGAGTATGGGAGCGGAGTGGGGGAGGAGCGTGGAAGGGATGGGGAGGGGCAAGGAGTCTGTGCATTGAACTTGGGTCTGAGTCGCGCGCGCGCGCGCACCGGCCGGCGGCCCCCTGAGAACGCTGCGGAGAGCGCGCCAGGACGCGTGCCTGAGTGTCGGGGACGCGCGGCGCCGGCGCTGGCTCAGGCCGGCCGCGCAGCCGCTGTTCGTACCTGGTAGCTGCTCAGGTCGTGGTTATGGCGCTCCTCGATGTCGCTGAGCTGTCGCTCCAGGGACTCCTTGGTGCCACGCACTGACTCGAGCTCGATGCTCTTGGACTGCAGCTGGCGCCGGTACTCGGCGATCTCTTCCTTGGCGGAGCGGATGGCCTCCTTGTTCTGCTCGGCCGCTTCGGTGAGCTTGGCGTAGCGGCACTTAAACCACTCTTCGGCCTGGTGCATATTCTGATCGGAGTGGCACTCGAGCTGGGAGCGGATCTCCTTCAGCGCCGATGAGATGTCGGTCTTCAGGTAGTCTTTGCGTTCCACGGTGATGTGCGACGCCTGGATCTGGGCCAGCAGGTCGGCCACCTCCTCTTCGTGATTGCTCCGCAGGAAGGCCACTTCATCCTGCAGCGACTGCACCTTCTTGTCCAGCTCCACCCTGACCAGCGACGCCTCCTCGATGTCTTTGCGCAGCGCGCGGATGGCCGTCTCGGTGTCGTCGCGTAGCCGTGCCTCCTCCTCAAAGCGCTCCTTGAGCCGGTGGATGTCTTCGTCCAGGTGATCCGAGTCCAGCTGCACCTGAGCCTTCTCGTGATTCACCATCTCGAGTGTGGCGCGCAGCTCGCGGATCTCCTGGTCGTACGCGTCTCCCAACTGGGCGTGTGAGGCCTGCTTCTGCCGTAGCGCCTGGATCTCAGTCTCGATCTCCTTGTTCTGCTGCTCCAGGTAGTGCACCTTCTCGATGTAGCCCGCGAAACGGTCGTTCAGTCCCTGCAGCTGCTCCTTCTCGTTGGAGCGGGACAGCTTGTAGTCGCCGCCCGGCCCGGCGCCGCCGTTGAGCAGGGACGAGGACTGGCTGAAGTCGAGGCTGCTCTCGGCGGAGCTGAGCATGGCCGAGCTGTAGGTGAGGCGCGGGCCGAGCGCGCTGCGCTTGTAGGAGGAGGACACCGTGCTGGGCGAGCCTCGGGACCACGACTGAGAGCGGAAGCCGCTGGACGGGGAACCGCTAACGCGGCTGAAGCTCGAGCGGGTCTCGGTGACCCGCCGGTAGGCGGACGGGTTGCCCAGCGAGTCCAGCGTGTAGCTCATCTTGGAGGCCTCGGGGCGTGTGGCTGTCACAGCGTTCAGCTGGCCTCGCCGCAGCCCATTTATAGCCGCGGCGGCTGGTCCCGGGCCAGGGCCCCGCCCCACGGAGGCGGCGGCCGAGGAGGCGGGGACTGCGGGCCCGGGGCCGGGGGTGGGGGTGGGGGTGGGGGTAACGCCAGCCCAGCGGTGATTCAGCGCCGGCTCCACGTGGGCCCGTGCCGCAGCGCACCCGGCCTGGGCCGCCGGGTCCCGGCCCCTTCCCCTGCTCTCCTGTCCGCCCCAGGCCACGTGCCGCCCCTCTGGCCCCCTCTCCATTTCCTTTCACCTACGGGGTGCATTTCCCGCCCTCGGTGCAGATATCAACCCAACGCCCTTTCTTTGTCTAGTCACTCTCCCGCCGTTCGGGCCGCTTTTCTCCAGGCGCCCTGGCCACCGCGTTCTTTTCCAGCCCTCTGAACTCCCACCCCCCCGGCTTTCTCTTCTTCTGCCCTGTCTCCGTTACTTTTCTCGTTGCTCATCTTCTGGGCTTAATCACTTCCCCTTCTTTTTGGCATCTCTTCGCCTTCCCACTTAAAACCCTCCTTAGCCCCGCTCACCCCGCCCCTCTCTCTGCCCCCTTGCTCCTGCACCTTTTGCTTCCCGTCCTTTCCTGCTCCCCTTCCCCGTCTCCCCTGCCCCCGCTTCCTTCTCCTCCCCCATCCTCATCTCTCCTTCCCTCTCTCCCCTTCCCCCACTCCCCCTCTTAAAGCTGCTCGGGTGAGCGCAGTTGGGCCTCGGAGAAAGCCACAGAAAGACTTTGAGGAACGGTCGGCCTGAAGCCTTCGGGAAAGGGTCAAAGAGGACAGGCCGGGGTAGTTCTATGTATTAAAAGTGGGATATGACTCTACATTCTTCTTAACGTTTGGGGGACGTCCGCAGCTTCCGCAGGGCAGAAGGTAAGGCGCTTGTGCCTGCTATGGCGCCGGCAGCACCAAGGACAGCGCCCAGGCTGGCGAGCTGGGACTCGCTGCCCTGGGGGTTTATCACCCAGCCTCGCCTGTCAGATGGCGGGGTTTCCCTCCCTCCCTTCTCCTGGAATAAATACAATTAAAGCCTGTTTGTAGTGACTCTGTTTGCAGGAGCCAGGCTGGAATCGCACGCTAAGATTTCCCTGCAATGCAGGTTTGGCACAATGGACAGATTGCAGATCTTGAGAACAACTAACATTCAGTAAAGTCAGGTAACAAAAATAATATACCTGTAGCCCAGCTTGAGTTTTCTAAGATATGATGGATGTGGGAGATCAAGAGATACAGGGCCTGAAATTTGAAGGTCAAATATTCCTTGGAAAGGGGAACTTGAAATCTGCTGAGATGAAAAGTCCAGGGAGATACAGTTTATAAGTTTGAACACAAGCAATTGCCTCATCATCCTTCTGCTCAGTGCTCCCTGTATGTAACTGATGCACCTGCATTCTTTTAAAAGTTGCTAATCAGATTCTCCGCAACCTTGAATAAAACCAGATATGATTTCCTTCATTTAAAATGTAATATATGTCCCCATTTAGGTTTTAATGACTGATGTGGAATAGATTTTCCATGTATTTAAACATGTTTGTTTAAACAAGGCATCTGCAGAGATGACAGACATCCTCCTGTCTGGTGCACTGCTAGCTGTTAAAATATCCCTTTATTTTGCATAGTGCTTTGCGAGTAATTGAAGATAAAAAAAGTTGAGAATACCGCAGGACACAACGAAGAGCAGAACGCAGGAGTAATGACCATGTTCATTGGAGTCACAAGTACAAACAATTGCATGTGAAATTCTTGCTGTGGCTGGAAAGAAACCACTGTTTATGAAAAGTAGAGAGAGAGCCCAGACTTAAATGTTTTCTTATCACAGCCTGCTTTCTCTAGGCTTTGTTTGAGTAAGCAGAAAAGGCCTCGGTTTCTAGAGGTTTTTATTTTTTACTTTCCTAAGTTCTCTTGGCCCATTTGTATTTTAAAATAGATGGGGTTAATTTAGGGAGTTACTTTGTCTCCTTAATGTGAAACTGCAGCACTGCAGGTGGTGTGGGGGAAGGATGTGCTAGTTTGCTGATTGCTGGGTTATCCTGCAGGCAAGGAGAGGCAGATGACAGAGGGAGGGCATGGTGCACATACTTGTATTTATTTTTTGTGAATATTGTAAAAATGGGATTTTCTACTGTCAGATGGATAAATGAAGGAAAAGAGAAAGAAAATTCCCTACCACTGTCGGGGTTGCACTGTGGAAGAAAGATACCATTGGATGAGGCCAATTGCTCAATTATGCAGTAATTATGCCTTAGTTACTTATTACTTTCTGCTTTTATAAAAAAAAAAGTAAAACCCTTGGAAGTTTCATGTTTCACGCACTGAAAGGACTTTTTGTAATGAGAGCAAATGGTTAAGGGCTGCTGCTGCTCTTAGTTTCCTTCAGGGCTTTGAAAATGAAATGACTCTGCAGAGAGACATTTATAAGGAAACACATGTCTAACTTCACAATTAGCTTGTTTTGCCTTATATCTAAGCCACCACAGAAATCCTTAAGCTTCCAGCTGGTTACAGAAGGAGGAAAGTGTTGCACACAAATAAAATAACAGCCAATTACTCAGGCTAAATCCAGGTAGTGACTATAGCTTAAAATTTTAACTTCAGTGTCACCTGAAGGATTGTTCAGTCCAGCCACAACGGGAAAACACAGAGAATTCTCACAGTTACCTTATTAGAGAAAAAAGTTGCCATGGCTTAAAGAACGATTGCTCCAGTTCCACATTTAGCAAAATGTTTTATTTTATATTAGACTTTTCACTTTAATCATGCTTTCTGAAGGTGACTTGAAAGTCATGCTTGTCAGTGATTGTAGTACAAAAACTTTTTTAAAAAGCTGTAACATTCATTTTTCCTTCTTTGTCTTGTATTTTTGAAGAACATCTATCACCCTAGCATATTTCAAAGGGAGCAATGTAAGGTTTGCCTTTTTGTCCTAATGACACTAAGTATGGAAATATTAACGAGAGAAAATAAGCATGAGAATTTATCTGAATTTACAACTTTGTTGAGTTTGACTATGATACTTTTATAATTTATTCTAAATAAGGAAGTTACACATATGATTTAGATTTAGGACATTATTAATGAAACTATCTTTGGATTGTTGTACCATAAACTACAGTTTTGAATCACTTTATTGGAAACATGGAGTATGCTATGTGTTCTTTTAGTAGGTACAGTGCAAATGGTAACTTTGTGGTTAAGAGATAGCTATTATGAGCTATCATCTGATGATAGAGGGAAAAATGTCCTTTATGTAAGGGGTTCATTCGTTGGGTCAAACAATAAGGTGAGAAAAGTAAGGAGTCGAGTATTTTCTTCTTTTTTCCTATATTTCCTTACATTTTAAAGAATACTTTTTGATACACAACAGTGCAAGGAGGATAGGGTGTGGAACTAGGGGGCAAGCAAGATGCCCCGGGTAGAAGATACCATTGTCAAATTGGCAGGCTGAACCTATTTAAAATCAGATGATTTGTACTTTCTCCCAACCTACTGTGATGTCTTGAACCTGATCGTTTTGCCTGGGATCTGATTCTAGACCTCAGGATGAGTAATTATAGATTGTCCTTTGCTAATTATTCAAAGGGTTGCTGATGTTGGAAGTTAGGGACTGAGTCCCCAGGAGTAGGAACATAAAGGAAATAAAAACTCTTGTACTTATTTCCACTTGAGCCTCAGGAAGGCATGCTTTAAAGCAGCTCTGACTTTCCGTCTTTTGGATTCCAGATATCGAAAGCAAAATAAAAATATCCTCAGGGGAGAAAGGCTATTTCTTATCAGGAAAATTGGGACATACATGTCCCTATTGTCTTTAATTAAAAAAAATTAGTCTCTGAACCACAGCATCCTTTTCTTACCTTTAAGGACTGGAATGGTGTTTGTTTCTCTTGCCAAATACTTTTATTCATTGAATATTGCCTTATATTTCCGTCAGTGACTGTTTCTATGAAAAGTTAATTGGAGCATTTAAGGAATGAAAAATATTTCACATCCTTATATTGTTCCAATTATAAGCTTAATCAGTTTTGAAAGTCTATATCTGGATATTTCATATTTTGTGGGGGAAACATTTAGCTTTTGGCTGTAACATAGTTTGGTTAATGTTTTTGCTGTGTAATGCCTTCTCCTCACCACCGGGAATCAGTTCCGTAAAAGCCAGAGAAGGAGAGGAGAAGGACTTAGAATTTTTAAGAAAGTATTTAAGACAGCCTTGCTAAAAGTGATTCTGAAAGTGAAGTTCAGTAGGCGCATGATAAACAGTACTGCTGCATCAGTTTTCAGCATGTTTTACCTGAACACATCGGCTTTATAGCGGCAGATCTTGCTGATATGCACTTAAATTTTTCAAACCCTGCATTGCACGTAACTTTGCACCAGGGCAGTCATGTAATATTTATGGCATATTTTATCCCAAGATTACCAAGGCCTGACTTAGCAAGAGACATAATTCTTTTATTAGAAACTCTTAATTAAAATGAGCTTTGTAAAACCAGAGCAGATCAATGATCTATTTATTATCCTTGGACTGAATTTCTGAGGGAAGCTAAACCCCGGGACATAAAGTCAAGTCAGAAAGAAGCCCCACCTAATAATGGAGTCTCATAGTCCCAGGACTGGGTTCTTTTATCCCTCCAATCTTGGCAATTCACAAAACTAGTATTCTTTCAAAATCTTCAGGAAATGGACTCACTGTTGTAGCTATCTCTTTTCACTTAGATTGTCCAGAACATCATACATTTTAGAATATTCCTGCTAACATTTTTGTTAAAATTAACATATACTTAGTGTAGAAATTCACAGAAGGCAGAGAAACAATAATTTGAGTACTTTTTTCTAGCTTTTTCTTTGTAATTTAAATTTAGATGGGATCTTTCTGTTTCCATAATCCCATACTGTGCTTTGTAAAATACGGATATCTGAATATGTAATTTGCTATCTGGGGAAAGAATGTGGTACTGAATGCCCTTAGATCTGGGTTCTAGCCACACATTTGACTTTCATTTTCCTCTTTAAAAAAATATTTTTAAAGGGCGCTTTAGATCAAGAATGATAACATAACAATAGCAATTAATAATATAATAGTA